AAAAAAAAAATGAAATACAATCCAAACAACATACACACACAAAGAGCAAAAAAGAAAAACATGCTCAATCCAAAACAATCATCAGATAAACTCTGCAAAGGTCTGTGACACATGTTTTTTTTTTCTTTGCTGAGAAAATTAAGCAACTTTGATTGCAATAGGGATAAAATGACTGGAATAACACAGACATTACACTTAGTTCGTTTAAAGCATTTAAATGAGTTTTTGTTTTGTTTTTTTAGCTGAAACATTTCATTGTGGTAAAATACATTGCATTTAGCTGACTCTTCTGAGCATCAAACATCATTTAAAAAAATTCTTATCCCTTTTTGATAAGAAAGAGAAACGCATTGTATTTTCATTTTAATTTCTGTATTTAAAAAAAATCAAATAGCCACTGGTTTCTTGTTTCTTAATACCCATTTCCAAAAGGAAATTCCAATGACCAAAACATACACTGACCCAAAGAGGAGCATTATGGTGAAAGTTATAATGCTTCGCTTGTGAAAGTAAAACTGTTGGACTTCGCCTTGGCACTCTGAGTTTCACACTGTCGAATAAGACATGTTTTTTTTTTTAAAAAGAAACTCTAAACTGTCATTTGAAGTAAGTAAGAGTGTGAATGGTTGCTTGTTTTGTTTGTGTTTGTGGCCCTGTGTTGGACTGGAACATGTCCAGGGTTTACCCCACCTTTTAAACATTAGTTCTATCAACCCAACATAGAAAAACAGTAATAGATTAATTATTAATTACAGCAGTCTATGCACCACACATCTTGAAAAAGGGTCCATTACCAATGGTCAATTCAGTTTTATGATAGAGGATAAAATGCATTGCTTGCATTTGACTCCTCTGATCTAAAAAAAAAAAAAAAAAAAAAACCTAAGTCAGTAAACAAAAGTTCTAAATCAAAGAAAAATATGCAGTGCTTTCACAATTGGTTGTCAAACACGATTTGACCTTTACTCTTTTGTTACCAGAAGAATTTCAAAAAGTGTATCCAAAAAAGCTGGTAAAGAATTTGGGTGTGTCTTTTGGGACTATATAGTTTTTCAAAAGGATCTCTGCAGACACAAGGATCCAGCATCCTCTGTGTTGCTCAGACTGCAGCTTCTGTTCCAGGATCTTCATGCAAACACAAGTTTAGGATTTCTGTTTGTGATAAATCACCATGAAGTTCTGTTCTACAATAGCTGCTCTGCTTATAGCAGCTTGTCTGTTTGTGCCCTCTTACTCTRTTTGGCGCAAACCTGGTAAGTTGTGTTTTCCTTTCATGTCTTCTATCTATAATCTGTTTATGTTTGTTTAGACAATCTTGTTAATGTTACACTATTTCTTTTTTAAAACCAGGGRTCTGCCCAAAAATCTTCAATACTTTTGTGGCTGTCCCACCATGTAACTTTGACTTTCAATGCCCTGGACATGAGAAATGCTGCCACTTTGATAACGGATCCGTTTGTGCCCCTCCTATTGCCAGTAAGAGACACAAAAACTTGTGAAAAAAATAAAAAAATCAGTAAACTGACACCAAAGCTATCTAAATGATGCCTTTTTTAGATTAATCTAAATCGTTTGAAGAGAAACGCTGACATGTACTGTTTATTACTTATGTTTTAAAATATGTTGTGATTATTATAGTTGCATTTAGTCAGATTTCTTTTCTGTTGTATTGCAACTCAGAGACAACAGCATTTACAGCCAAATAAAAGCTCAAAAAGGTAACACAGGAAAGTGTGCATAGATTTACCAAAATAAAACTAAAATTAAAYGACTTCATTGAGTTTTATTCCAGTGCTTTTGTAAGTGATACTGAGTGAGACTAATTTCTGAAAGTTTTCAATAAAATCTTTATTGGTTCATGAGATATTTTGCTAAAATTTAATTAATCTATTTGGATAAAATAAATTCAGTTTTGTTCAGGTAGTTTTTTAAAGTAAAAACTCCTCTCAAAATTCACATTAATGACAAACTTTTTTCTTTTTCATTTATTTCCTCAGTACCCTTAGGGTGTCCCCGTCTCTTTCCAGGAGATGTTGGGAGTTGTGTTGAAGGGTGTATTAAAGGATGCAAAAGGGGTCAGATATGCTGCCCTAACGGGTGTGGAAATCAGTGCATGGCACCAGTACCAGGTGAGATATAAAAAAGATAAAAATCCTCACTTATCCACATCCTGCTGCCACGAACACACTGAATGTTTTTTGTCTTTTGTACTTCAGGGTAGCCAGCATTTTGTGGAAATCATSTGTTCATCCCTCACTGYCATGATGCTATCRATRGTGGATGCAGCAGTAAGAAGATTGYTACCCAAACAAATGTGGAAACACCTGTGAACAGACCTTTTTCTTCTTCAAACCACCAGCTGAGCTGCATCAGTCAAGTGTGCTCTTCTGTGGTTTCTTCAATATTGATTAGAAAATGTCAATATGTTTCTCATGTATGTTTTTACTTAAGTATTTTTTTGCTGATTTGTCAAGCTATGGTATTTTTACATTTTGCAGTAATTGCAGAGTGATTTACAAAAGTGTACTGTGGGTTTTGGGTTTCTTTTTTTATCAAAAAATCTCAGGTTAAATGATCAGGAGTGTGTGTTCTGGTATTTCTACCTTTTAATAACAGAACAATCTACTTGTCATCACATCAGCGAATCATTCAGAGTGATCTATAAAGGTATACTGTGGGTTTTGGTTTTAATTTCTGCAAGTGTGCAACAAAAGCTTACCAAATTTACCATGTTGTCAATAAAGCTCTATAAAATGATCAGGGGTCTATGAATGTCCTTCATGTGGTTTATTTTAGCTGTGCTGAACAGGGAGCTGGATACAGACACCTTGGCTAAAAGAGCATTTCCTCCCAGCTGCAGCACATRCAGATGCATATAAAATATCAACAAAAACTAAAACAAAGACTTGTTGTCACATCCCAGCTCGGAGAATATGTGTTTGCACAGAAAAAGTAAAAATCAGCTCTATATATTATACAAAAAAAATGCACAAAACACTCTTATCCAGCTACTTGTAAAATCTCAAAACCTAAACTTTCTCACTGAAACAGTTGCTCATGTGCTGCAAGACTGTAAACACGACTTGGCATCACTCACACTATGACAAACCAACTGAAAACATAATGTTCAGGGTGTGATGTTCTTTTTTTATAACGGAACTACACYGCACGCTCACACACCTCAAACATTGGGCGGCATCATGTCATCGAGCTGGGCCCGGCCACAGGACCTGTCGACATCAGAAGATTTATTGTCCCATTCAAGAGAAACATCAATGAACACGTTTCGCAATTAATTTGTACAGCAGGAATACTGAGATGAAACCTACTCACCACCTGTAATTTACAGAATGCAGTTGACTGCAATAAATAATCACTGTAAACATTTACTGTAGTCAACTATGATTTTTTTTTATCTCTGGATAATTGTGGCCACTGAGAACCTACTCAGGTTTGGATGGACCATTTGTCATGCTTTGGTCTCTGACATGCCGTGGACAAAGACATGATCGAGGACTGTTGCTCTCATCTTGTCCGTAATGAAAGTGGGCAGTCGTTTTGCTCTTCCTCCTTGCCCCTATCCTCTTCCTCCTTGGCCCTATCCTCTTCCTCCTTGGCCTGCTCTTCTTCCTCCATCCATTGTGGCCGTTTGAAACCTTCAACAAACTGCGCAGTCTGAACCTTCATGGGTGTGGTCACATCTTTTGGAACAAGTGTCTTCAACTTTRAGTCATTGTGTTTAATGAATGAAGCCAGGTGTGTTTATTGTGTTTAATTATTGCTGACTCTGGTAGACTTTTGTGTCACATGAGTTCTACACAGAGAGTTTTTTGTCAAGCATTTACAATCAGAACTTTAGCTTTAGTGTGACAGTAAGAGGAGGACAAGAACCATAATCTCTGATAAGATCAGAGCCACTTTTGGTTGACTATGTGGTTATAGCATCATTTTTATTTGATTCATTTTTTAGTATTTTTTATCATAACTTTATGTTTAAACTTTAAATTATTCTGGTGTTTTGTACATAGACCATTAGATGTACAAAAAATGTTATTGTGGGAAAAATAAAATATACTTGTTCTGAGTATAGAAACAATATTCTAAAATATTTTACAACAAACTTGTATGTACAGTCTGTAGTAAGTGTGGCACTGAACAAAAAATTCCTAATTCATGATGATGAACGGAGAARTGTTTCCCTTCCATCATAGTGAGCGCGTGAGTGTTCAACTGGTTGTCATATGATGATTTGTGTGTGTCATTTGAAAACAAAGYATTTCCTTTTGCAGGAGAACTGACAAGTTTTGTTTGGTTAGTTTAATTAGTTATGACATGRTATGCTTTTGTAACCTTTGAAATATGTCCAAAAGAGGCGGGGAAGAATCCAGGCGTGTCTCTTGAGACTATATAACTTTGCAAAATGAGCCCTGCAGACACATAGATCCAGCATCTTCTGTTCTCCTCAGACAACAGTTTCAGGATATTTAGTCAAACAAGAGTTCAAGAACTCATCACTGGCTGTGATAAATCAACATGACGTTCTGTTCTACAATAGCTGCCCTGCTCATTGCAGCTTGTCTGTTTCTGCCCTCTGATGCTGTTCTGCCAAAACCTGGTAAGTTTTTTTATGTATTAAATGTATAATCGGTTTTTATTTGTTTGCTTTTACCAACTTATAAACTAGACACCCTTATTAATGTTAAACCAACACTTCTTTAAAAACAGGGATCTGTCCAAAAGTCTTCAACACTCTTGTGGCAGTACCACCATGTGAAAGGGACGAAGAATGCAGGGGAGATGAAAAATGCTGCAAGTTTGATTACGGATCTGTCTGCGCCCCGCCTACTTCAAGTAAGATACAAAAGAGTTTAGCCAAAGTAGTCACTGCAAGAATGATCTTAAGCAGAATGAGTTAGATTGTCAAACCTGCTAGCCTGGAAAGTTTCCTTGTTTCAAGAAGTCTGTGCAGTTGTCTTACTGCACTGGCAGATTATTTCACTTCATTWGAGAATATTCCAAAACCCCAAACAGATTAAAGCACAAAAACAGGAGAAAATTGGATTTTATTTTATTTTTTCACAAATGACAAAACTGATACCAAAGTCATCTGAGTGATATTTTTGTGTGTTTTTGCTACCTGGTTGTTTTGGAACTTCGGTTTCCCCCACAGACGGGAAGCATGGRCAATAGTTTGCATTAAGACCCAGGCCTCACTTGCAAAAGAGATCTGTGATCTCAATGGTTAAATAAGTTTAATATATTGATGTTTTAAATCTAAATAAAATAAAACTTTATTGATTCAAACTTTTCTAATCATGGCTAAAAAAATATATCACATTTTGCATTTGTTTCATGTCCAACAGCAGAGCAGCAAACAAACTCTTTGCTTCCTCATTCTTTTGGTGTTACAGTTCCAGAAAACACCCCGAGGTTCTTGTGACGTAAACAAACAAGCAAAAGGTTTTGTCTCAGAGAGGTTGATTGACTTGAATATAATTACCATCGTGCTCTTGCAAAACTGCAGAAATGAACAACCGGATCAGGACAATTAAAGTCCTGCTTATTCAGCTGATTGTWGCTCAACATGCACTTGGTGTTGTCAAAACTATAAGTCAGAACTCTTTAAATTTTTTAAGTTTGTATGATGGGTCTAACAGGTCCTGGGATGTTTAAAAGGAACATTTTAAAGTTTTTAACCATAACTTCATGTCTGTATTTGGTGGGAGCTTTAGATTTTTGCAACTAAAAACATTTCTCTCAGTGACAGATTTGTTTCCATTTACTGTTTGGATTCAGTTTAATGGTAGCAGCTGAGGCTCATGAGATACTTCACTCACAGACACCAACAGTTGTTGACTAAGTGTTTGGTAAAAAAAATACATGCAATGTATTTTCCTTCAATATCTGTTAAACTAGCATTCTTATCATTTTTGTATTTCATAAAGCTGCTTAGCTGTGGCAGTCAACGTGACTGAGGTTAACGCCAAAAGTTAATCAGATGTAGATGTCCATCCAGTGAGTGATTTCTGAACTTTTCATGAAAACCTGTGGTGGCTCATGAGGTATTTTGTAAAAGTTATAGGCATGCTAACTGGCTACATGAACACACAGGTAGAATCATGTCTCCCTCTGACTTGGTTGATAAAAAAAAACTACTTCTCTCAAATATCACATTGGTCAAAGTTTTTGTTTTTAAAAGTTTTTACATTATTTTTCTTTTCTCACAGTACCTCCTGAAGAGGCGAAAAAACCAGGTCAGTGTCCAAAGGATTTTCAATCTTTTGCACCATCAAAGCCGTGTGGCTTTGACAGAGACTGCCCTGGAGATGACAAATGTTGTACATTTGACTATGGATCTGTCTGCGCACCTCCTGTTTCAAGTGAGAGAAACAATATTTACCAGCCAAAATAAATAAAGGATTTTGATAAATTTGTTTAACTGAAAATCTATTTTCACTGAAATCTTTAAAATTATGGTACTTTGGTAAACAGAGATTTGTAAAATTTGTGTTTTGGTAGTTTTTAGGAAAAAATAAATTCTCTCAAAACTCACATTTGTTTGACTACATAAAGCATGTTTTTTTTTCTCAGCAACTCTTGGGTGTCCACCTCCAGGAGAGGTTGGAATATGTATTGAAGGATGCATCGGAGGATGCAAAGATGGTCAGATTTGCTGCTCTAATGGGTGTGGACATCAGTGCATGACACCAGTGTCAGGTGAGGTATGAATAAGATGACAAAAATCCTCACTTGCTCTCCTCATCCTGCYGCCATGAACAGATTAAATGTTTTTGTTTTGGGTGTTTTAGTGAAGCCCGGATTTTGTGGAAGGCGTCTGCCCATCCCCAACCCTCTTTGTCGTGATCTCTGCCGTCATGATGGTGATTGCCGTGGTAAGAAGAAGTGCTGTCCAAATAAATGTGGAAAGACCTGTCAAGATCCTTTTTTCCTTCAACCTTTCAACTGAGCTGCACCATCCACTCCAGCGTGCTCTTCTTTGGTTTCTTCATTACAGATATATTGATTAAACATGTCAATACATTGTTTGTGTGTTTCCACTTCAGTACACTCTCTTTTTGATGCTGATTTGTCAAACTGTTTTTAAAGGTGATTTGGTATTTGAAAAATTGTAATAAAAATGGAATGTTGATGCATCAGAATATCATTCAGAGTGATCTATATATATAGCATGGTTTTTCGTTTTCATTTTTGCGAGTGTGCATCAAAAGCAGAGGGAATTTATTATGTTGTCAATAAACTCCAGTAAAACTAGATACCGCATAGCTGTAACATAATGACCCACACACACGCAAGTGCACCAGAACTCAGAAGTCTTCGTTGCTAATAAATGT